TTTTCGCTTACCGAAGCACTTTCACTTTTGATTTTACCGAATTAAAATGCATAATTCTTACAAGAATTGGCGTGCTGTCAGATTCAGAGATTTATATCGAGCCTGTCTGGATGAAAAGCGCCGGCACAGATTAATTACTTCTCCTAAACTTTGGACTTTTGTAATGGGTATAAATTTATTTAGCGGAACAATGAGAATGGACAAGAAATGCATGCTAATCAAACCATGTCATTTCTTGTGACGATGTTTTGGTTCCCCTGGAAGAGGCCTGAAGCTACAGAAAACCCCAGTGAGAGGGAGTAGAAACGCTTGTAGTCGCTCAATCACCGCCTACAGAAACTGGTATAAGCGCTGGAATTGTGGACAAGTTTGATCCGAGTACGACTTCACCTTGGTTATACATATATTCTAAATATCAGACTAAACGAAATCAGTCTAGGATGCCTATGGGCTTAGGAAATAAATCAACTCTATAGCGTGTATTCAGTTTAAGGCCACTTCCGTGAATTTCCCAGTAAACCAGCAAATATTTTTAACACCTTTACTGGTAGTGACCGGACCTCTGACAGTATTATTCAGCATTCGTCACCGTGTCTCGCTTATGCTTAACTGCTGAATCAAATGTAAGGAGTGCGTTTCTGCTCGGCTGCGCCTCGAGCAATTGATACTCTCGGAGTGTTAACTATATCCTTAATTTCGGATTTCAGCCCGGTCTCGACTTCTTTCCAGTGCCTCTGTAAGTCCAAAAAGGCTTATATTTTGACCAGTTCGCGTGTATCCAACATTACCAACCTCAGAATCCGGATGTTCCTAACCCGCAGGTAACATTTCTTAACCGTAGGTTTGTTACCGAGGGTATAGCAGCGTTGTTCAAAGAAGGGATTGTGAGGTTTTAAGTTACAGTCAAACCAAGTGAAACTTGGTCATAGTTAATTGAGGGAAATAGTTAGGAAACTTGGCAAAGTTCTTCGTTGTATGTTTTTGTTTGCTATTTTGGGGGTTAACCCTGCA